TGGATGAGGTTGTGGAAGATTACTCCCAGCTTTTGCCAACTCATCTGCTCTCTCATTTCCTTGAATACCACAGTGGGCTGGTATCCACTTGTCACGAGACGACCTCAGTGGTTCCAGAAGTTAGTACTCGTAATAAGTTCTTCTGGTTATTGGTAATACTTTAAAACAAATTGATTTAAATGTTTCCAGTCCTTAGTCCAGACAAAGCGACTGAGTATTGGGTAATATTACCTAAAACTTTACACTGTAGCTTGGAATTCTATTCTCATGTGTCAGTGTCAGAATGTTTTCTCCTGACCACAGACTGTAAAAGCCAGCGAACGGGGAACTTAGCATCACACCTGAGATTAGCTTCCCTGAGCTGGACCGTAGGTCATAAAGGTTACATAACACAGACTTTTGATGAGACTAGATCAGGGGAATTGAGTGGACCGGTAGACATTGTGGCGACCAGAGGCTGGAGTTCGCACGTCAGTGTAATTCTCGGGAGAACAGGTGTTTGCCAATAAGGAATGTTTGATCTTGGTCAAGTAGGAAACACAAGGGCTTCACTGACCGTCTTTTAACACCTGCCAGTTAGATTCGTTGTAAACTAGATTGGGTCACTTAAGAATGTTCGCTCTAGGGATGTCAGTCCAGAATTGACTGACAGGCCACTTGTTAGCTAATTTGATCTGATAGGTACTTCAGAGGCGTGGCTTAAGTCATCGTCTTGAGGGTTGGGTAGAACCGAGTAAAGGGAGGAGTTTAACCTTTGAGACAGTTAGATTGTATACTTCGAGCCTTTGGAATTCCCGTCACATCGCAGCTAGCAAGCAACAAACACAGGTCGACGTAAAGGTAATTTTACGGTCGCTTTCTGGTTTGGCGATTGATGGAAAGTTCCCAGGTGAATATAAATTTTAATCTTGTATACATAGGTTAGGGAGTTAAGCTTAGTCTATACTACCTTTTCCTAATTTGTCTGCACATTCTGCTTGAAATAGTTCTTTGTGAGTATTCAGTATCTCAGTTAAGGAACTGCTAAACTATTCCTATTTCTTGTATGTTTGTGTCACATGTTTTTCAGTGTATGTTTTCATGTGTATAAAATATGTGAACAATGACATTTGCTATAATGAAATGTAATTATATTGTTTCCATGATCAGCCAAAATATGAGTTGGGACTGGGGGAAATGATGCCAAAATATGTGCAGGGATGCTGCTACGTTTTGTGTGCCCACCATGTGCTCACTTACTGTGTTCACCTAAACAGGGGATTTATAACCCCAGGGGAAGAATGATGGGTGTATAGAATTCACGGTCACTGAAAGATAATATTCAGGACAGTGGGCACCTATAAATTGTTTGCGTGTTCAGCACATAACCTGCTCCACGTGGTCATGTAATATCAATGTCAGCCAGTTCGAAGTCTGTGTGATGACGGACCACAGACTTAGAAAGTCAACTATCATGACATAGCATGAGAGGAAGGCAAAAGACCTTCAGACTAGACTGGAGAGAATGTGGAATATGAGGAGTGGTGGGATATATTTTATTATTATATGTTATATTAATGAATACATGTATTCTTAGTGTAAGTCAAGATACTACACGTATGTGTTTGTTTCCATGATTACAGCGCCCATGTGACGATCAGTCCATGAAAGAGACTACATTGTGTTAGACTCGGCCAGCTGGGAACGAGGTGGAGAACGATGTGGAGAACGAGGTGGGAATGAAGTGGAGACTAAGCTGAAACAGGCAGAAAACAAGCAGGGAAGAAGCTAGAAGAGGAGGAAGAGCTTGACAGTGCTCACGGCTGTCAGAGGTTCTATGATAACTAAGTTATGTCATAAATTGTTCATACGTTATCACCTTCATCAATCCTTTCTAATCCCAGGTGCTGTTTTCTCACTGAAGCATCTCATCACTATCATGACTAACCAGTCACTGTTTGTGTAAACACAACAAACTGGGAAACTTTATTTAAATCATTGTTAATAAAAAAAAGCTGTATGTCAAGTTTTATACTACATCGTTTGTTAAATTCCAAGTGTATTCAGTCTTACCTGTTTAACTAAACTGATAGATAGAATTACATTTGGTGGGAAAAATAAATATGATAATTCTTTAATTATTCATAATAACACCGGGAGAAGGTAGAAGACGGAGGAATCATTTGCCCTGTCTAATAATTCATTAAGTGTAATGCTATAGACATCTAAAATTCCTTGCCTTCTCTTGTGGGTACCAAGTTCAGCTAATGTTAATGTACTTAACGAGCCAATATGGCTGTTTTCTTGGATATCCAGGACTTTGTCTGAGAGCAACATAGCTCAGATTTTAGTTCGGTTAATCTGGTGGAGGGAATGTGTTGAGAGGAAAATCCCTACTCAGCATTATAAACATTTAATCCACCGCGTCACGTCACACCACTGCAAGATCAGTTCTGCTTCCGTGGAGAGTAAGCCAATGTTGGTCCTTAGATCTGCAATTAGTTAGTCTTGTTTTTTGTTTGATAGCGCTTTGAGAACAGACAATGAGTCACTAAGTATAACAATTGTGTGCCCTCTGTGTTCTTGATTGATTAGATGTTGGACAGCAGAAAGGAGGGCAGTTGCCTCAGCTCTGAAGTTAGTGCAGATGTCACCTGCTGGTAGAGAGAGAGAGAGATTCTGCTCTACTGCTAGGGGGTTTAATGTATATTCCACAACCCCCCCCCCCCCCAATCACTTTCTGGCTGCTTCTGTAGCAGAGCCTTCGGTGAAAACCTGAGTCTTTACATAATACAGTTTTAAAGTCAAGTTATATATTCTCCATTCTAATGATATTTATATGCACTCAAAAACGAAGAGCGAAGGACTGATGGAAATGGAATGAGAATAATTTAAGAAAGTAGAAGTAAAAAATATCAACAGTTATAAGACTAAAAAGATATGCATATTTGGCCATGAGAAAAAAAGAGCAGAGAACCACAAACAGGCACTTAAATGGGAAGTAAGTCGCGGATGAAACGATCTTATGTGGTCTTTTGAACCAGCCCTGAAACTTTCTAATGTTTTTTATTCATTTCTGTGGTGTCCGGTTTGAGTGTTTCTCTCTTCCGTTTTTTTTTTTTTTTTTTAACAAATGTCTGCTTTGATACACCTGTGCTTGATTCCCTGCCCGGTGGTCATGTGATCAAATCTTCATCTGGATGGATTTTTTAAACAGTTAGTCAATAACGTTGGTATCAGGACATGTAATAAGATCCAACTGCCTCTCAGAAACAATACTACAGGGCTCATAGAGGGGAAGAGGCAAATCACTAAGGACTTAATACAGAACTTGACTGACTGGACAGGCCATAGGCATGCAGCCATAAAGTCATTTGTAACTGACTGTCAAAGCTGGAGAGAGCTGATAGTCAGTGTTACCGGACGATGATGATAATGATCAGGAAATTAGAAAATTCCTCGGAGAGCCAAAAAAAAAAAAATGCAACCCAGATGTTTTGACAAAGACCAGCGCTCAAAGACAGAGCGCTCAGAAAGAGAAAGTCATCACGTTTTCGTCACATTATAACAAGGGAACTGGAGCATGTGACTACTGGAAATATCTGTGGGGGAAAGGCAGAGGACGACAACGCGAGAAGATTCTTGACAGCCTTTTGTCACGGCATAGAAGAATGTCAGCATATAAACTGATACATGCTGTTGAAGATTGCACATTGTAGAGAGGCATGATCGTTCACGCCAGTCGGCAAGACACTTGATGATGATGATGATGTTGATGATGATATTGATGATGATGGTGAGGAAATGACATGGAAACTGTCATATATCATTTATAGTTAGTCTGTAAAACCTAGCATCATATACCCAAGCCTTGTATACTGTAACGTGGCTGAAATGGTTAACTCGTACCCCTCCCATCCCCTCCCTTTTTAAGTAACTTTTTCTTTTCTTTTTTGAAATAGTCTCTCCGAAACCTCTACAATCAATGGTTTTTATTCCCTCGAAATTCGAAAAATTCTTTGTATATCAATATTTTCATGTTCTCAGTTTGACTTTCCAATTTTTTTCTCATGTTTGTGCGCCATATAGTATGCTTCATTATGCTAAACCAGTTCTCATTAGTACAATCTCTCTCTCTAGATCAGCGGTTCTGAAACTGGGTGCCGCGGCACCCTGGGGGGAGGGGGCGCGGCCATTATAAAAGAAAGTCGGCTAAAAATTTTGAAATTATTGAACTTCAAAGTTAAAATTGAAGTTGTCTTCCCTCGCCACTGTCGAAAGAGTATTTCTTGTTTCACACTCAGACATATTTCATGTTGCATAAAATGCCAATCGCAAAGTGTCCATGTATTTATCTCGAGGTAAGACCGATCCTCTACCTGCATTCGTGAGGTGCAGTCGATAAGTCAAGTTGTGGTTACATTTTGACTGAAATTTTAGGGTGGAAAATGTGGTCTGTACAGTAATAACTGTAAGCCTGGTCAAGTAAGTATTTACAGGTAATGTTTTTTTTTTTTTTTTTTTTTGGGGGGGGGGGGGGTGCTTTTATGTGTGTATGTGCGCGCGCGTGTGTGTGTGTGTGTGTGTGTGTTAAAGAGGCATCAAGAGTGCAATCATTCTGAATTAGTACATAAAGATTAAGAAATATTCAAGCGCACTTTATCTCTAAGGTCATTCAAGTTGAAGACAATTTCTAACAAAGAAAATGAAAAGGATATAATGAACAAAATTCATGTAAACAGTTTCATCCTCACATTAAAGACAACTGAACATTAAAAGTGCACTGTTTTTCTGCTTTCCCTGAGTAATTAACAGCTTTTAGGGTAGGTGTGCCGCTAAAATACTTTAGCCCGACAAGGGTGCCGCGGCGAAAACAGTTTGAGAACCGATGTTGTGTTTTTACTCATTACTCTTCAATTATTTCATTCTCCCCCCTCCCCTCCTCTTTCCCCCGCCATTTCAGTACCAGCCATAGACAAGTCGGAGATGATGGCAACAGTAAAAGAGTTACTGACCAGGCCATGGAAGTAGTTCTGACAGCTCTACTATGTTTTATGCTGACGGCGGTTGTCCGAATCCTGGCATTCAGTCACTGTGTGTCAAAGGCTGGTTATACAAATTTGGACGGTCAGTGTCAAGTGTACTGTGCTGATGGACGCTGTCCAGACTTTTGCAAATGTGCGGATGGAAATGGTGAGTTTGTTCCTTTACCCAAAAGTTTGCTGAGGTAACTGGATGAGAGAAAATGTACCAGCACGTATAGTTTGTGCCTAAGTATTTAGTTTTATGGAGGAGCTGGTTATTAGGAAAAGGTACAACAGTACAGTTCAATATTTGAATGTAAAAGTCATCCCCATGTAGGATGCAATTTTTTTTTTAAAGCCGCACCCTGGCTTCTGACCAATCAGCACTTGATGGGTGATGTGGTCAACATCACGCGGCCGCCTTTGTTTCCCAGGACTGCACCTAATACCCAGTCAAGGCTGGGTCAACCTCGGAGTCATTAAAAAAATCTGGCTGGACTTGAACCCACCACCTTCCGATCCGCAGTCGGGCATCTAGCCGCCAACACCACAGCTATTTGGTCAGTACATGATCTGTTTGACCGAAAACCTCCTATTCATATAGCATCTGTTAGTCTTTTTAAAATAAACTAACTTAACATTTATTTTTTCCAGGAACTGACAGCAACATAATATTCAGTAGTTCTCGCACTCCTATATATCATCTGTTTGTGGCATTTTCACAAGATATCTTTCTCTCCGGTCTACTGGTATTTCTTCGGTCTTCCAGTCATTATTAAATAATCTATGCGGCAATTACGTTGATATGTTTATATTGGCCCTAATAGCTTCTGCTATGATACCATCTGGACCTGCTGCCTTACCTTCCTTCAGAAGATTGATAGCTTTTAAATGTTCCTGTTTAGATGGTATCTCTCAATTGAAATCCAGTTCAAATTCTAAAGGCTGGATATCTGGAGGAACCTCTGGGCCTGGTCTATTTAGAAATATGTTCGAATACTCAGCCCGTCTGTCCATTTGATCATGAGTGTTGGTAAGCAGCTTTCCTTGACTATTTTTGATTGATCTAGTTGGCTGACTATATTTACCTACTAATTTCCTTGTGTTACTGTAAAGGTCTCTGAGGTTTCCTTTTGCTCCTGCTGTCTCCGCTTCTTGTGCTGTGCCATCTAAATATTTCATTTTGTCTGCCCTTTTACACCTTCCAGCTTCCTTATTGGCTTCTATGTATTCCTCCTGAGCTCTAACGTAGCAGATCTAGTTTAGCTGTTAAGTCTGCCTTTTTAATTTTCCTTACTTTCATCCCTTTAATGGTATCTGGTGTTATCCACGCTTTATCTTTCCGTTCTTTCTTACCAAGGACTTCTACACAAAATTTATTACAGATTCCCATGATCTGATCCCAGCAGACTTCAGTGCTCACATCTTCAGTTAACTGCTGCAACACCTGGTAGTTATTATAGACTGTTACTGAAAATCTATTCCTTCACTTCTTTATCCCTGAGACAACCTACATTATACTTGTTTCTATGATAAGATGTATATCTTTTGAGTTTCAACTTGATTTTACTTGCGAAGAGAAAATGGTCAGAAAATACATTCGGCACCTTTTAAAGCCCTACCATTATAAAGGAATGACCTAAACCTTTTTGTTAATACATAGGTGATCAATTTGATAAGTTGTCTTATGGTCTGGTGATTTCCATCTTGCCTTGTGTATTCTTTTGTTGGGGGGGGGGGGGGGGGGGGGGGGGGTGGATGCCTCCACCAATAATATACTGGTTTCCTGCACACATATTAGTGTATAATTTTCCATTCTCATTCATTGCTCCTAAACCATGTTTTCCCCCAAATCTCTTCATAACCTGTCTTATATGATTCTATAATAGCATTCAGGTCATCCATCACAATTTTTATATTGCCCTTTCTTTCATTATTTATAATGTACAATTCCTCTACAACTGATGCATCCTTATCAATTATTGGAGCATAACACTGTAGTACCGACATGTTCACCTTCTGTTTCGCTGTTCTAAATGATGCTTTTACTATTCTAGGACTCAGCTTCCCATTCTATTAGTACCCACTCTGCTTCTTTCGATAGCACCCAGACTACTCCTTCACTTTGAGGATACTTTTCCTTTGTATGTACTGAGAACAAAATAGTTTCCCCTGAATTTAAAACATTTTCCTTGCCCCGGTCCATCTAGTTTCACAGAATCCTAAAATACTAACCATATAATGGTTCATTTCCATTACTACTTCCATTATTCTTTCTACATTGTACAAAGTTCTAACTTTCCAGGCGCCAGTTCTGAAAGTTTTCCTAGGTGAGAGGAGGTACGACGACGGTCTGGACTCCTTTCGGCTTTCTCCACTTTGTGTCATATTTCTTCTACCCGAAGAGCTTTCCCTCATCTTGGTTGGCTGGGTTTTTCTTGTTTCTCTTCTTGACTTTTCCATGGTTAGTTAATTGAGGTAGCCAACCTCAAGCCTAACCCTACCCTGCGACATACCTGGTAGGCTGCAGTGTTCCTATTCTTTGCTTCCATGGGAGCCCAGGTAACACACAGGCGCCGACTTCTTTACCTCTAAGATACTTCTTAAGACCCATCTAGGCTGGGTCGACCGAGAAAACGGAACAATTGACAATTGGAAAACATTAAGGATAAAGAGCTAGGTGAAGACAAAGAGGAGAGATTCTTGACAGTCGTTTACCACGACATGGAAAGGTATCAGCATAGGAGTTGACATGGTGTTGGAGACCACAAGACGAAAGAGCGCGAACACCTAAAACAGTGTGCAAAGTCACTGACGATGATTGACTGTGTTGATGCTGTGGCAATCCCATGTAAATACTTCACTTGGACAATTTAAAAATAAGCAATATAAACTATTAAGAAGTAATCGAAACGTAATTTACAGAATGTGGTTATAAGCTAGTATACATAATTTTTCACTGTTTCAGCCTCAGAAACTTGTGCAAAATTAGATTTCGGTTCAAATAACAGCCTGGCAATAAACGAAACCGTTAAACCAGGTAAGCGGTAACATTAGCGCGCGTTTGTATGAACCACTGCTGCATTTGCACCATTTCTAATGTTTACTCGAATATTTTCCTGGCCCGAAAATAATAATTATTCAGGATCTGAATGCAGGGAAGACTGACTCACTGCTTATCGAAAATCACATACTGCAGATATGATAACGTGTTAGTAAGCTCAGACGCTCGTGTATATTGTTGCGCACGTAAAAAAATAACTTGGCAGTTGGAAATCGAACATTGAGTTAAAAATCTACCCAAAGTATTTCAGGATCCTCGTCGGTGCAAGAGAGTTCGTGCACTGCGCTTAGATTTTTCAGACTCAGACTTGAGTTAGTAGTAAAACGCAGCACTTATGGGTTTACACCCCTGGGCCATGATGTTAATCCGTCGACTAAACAAAAACAAAAACAAAAAAAGTCCACAACTGCTTGGCGAGAACACAAACTAAGGAGATTGATCCCGAAGAAAGAGGTATGAGTCAACCAATATGACAGTGAACACAAGATATCAAGAATACAAGGCGGGACAGTTAACAAGGGACAGGGTGACTGTTCGGTGTGCTCAGACGAAAAGGATTTTCTAGAAAGGACCTGCTATGATGACAAGAAGAAAAAGGCCGTTAGCTGAAGCAATTAAAGAACACAAAAGAAAACTGACCACCTGCGAAATAAGATGTTTGATAAAGGCCATGAAAAAATATATAGAAGAGATCGTGTAAGAAGCGAAGAAATTACAAGAACTTTTGGGCCAACGTCTATAATTAAATGTATTGAAAAACAAGAGCGGCAATGGTTTGTCCATTGAATGAGAATGAATCGAGTGATGTCAGGAACGAGAGCGTAAACAATAACAGAATAAAACCAAGATGTAAGGGACCACCAAGACGAAGATGGATTGACGGAGTTCCTGTTACCGGGAGAGTACACATCACAGCGTACCGGGTAACCGAGCCTGCTCTAGCTTGGAACCCGATCATCTGCTAACCTATGACGTCTAGCGGCAAAAAGCACAGGAAATGGACAAAAGACAAATGGACTTCCATTGTAATGCATGTTTTATAGCTATCCTCGGCGTACTACAGTAAGATGTCCTGGGCAGTTTTTGTTTTTTTGTTTTAAGAAAAAGACTTTTCTGGCGGATTTCGAGTTGAAGAATCGCAAAGTGGAAGAAATGGAACCGGAAAATGAACAAAGAGAGGTGACCAGACAACGCAATTGGAGCCGAATCATGTAATTTCCACACAGTATGTAAAGTAAAGTAAAGGACCCTTACTGGGCGAATAGGGCTAAACCTATACCTTTAGACCAATCCGCCCATGGTGGGTGATGTGATCAGCATGACGTCAGCCGGCTTTACTTCCCAGGACTTTATCTGGTACCCACTCAAGGCTGGGTCGACGTTGGAGCCTAGGTCATTTTTGGAAGAAAAACTAAGCCAGGCTTCGCCAGGAACCGAACCCACGACCTTTGGATCAGCAGGCGAGGGCCTAGCCGCTACACTATGGTGGCTATCAATTTTCCCATAGAGTTGGGAAATACACATGTCTACTGCAGCCATACATTGTGGAGTGAGCAGATTTTTTGTCCCCAACATCTAACAACTAAATAAATAAAGGAAGCACTTTTATTATACCCTATACTCTGCTGTCTCATCCCTGAAGTTGGGGGGGGGGGGGGTTAGGAGGAAACGTATGTCCCAATCACCCCGGTTGATATGGTCTTCCATTCTGATCGATCTAATCTTGTGTTGAGTTTTTTTTTTTAACTGTTAACAGAATCACCGTCAACTGCACAGGAGTGGGAAGTACACAGCTTGGTGTAGCAGTCAATCGTATTCTAATATAACCTCCTAGGAGGGTGGGCTGGATGTCTGGGGTTAGTCTTGCTGGGGCAAGATGAGGCTCTTGAAGTCACAAGGGTAGTCAAACATTCAGAAAACAACCTAGAGGAGGAACATGCGGCGGTAGCAGAAAGAGAAAAAGAGAGAAATCGAGAGATCCAGAGAGAGAGAGAGAGAGAGAGAGAGAGAGAGAGAGAGAGAGAGAGAGAGAGAGAGAGAGAGAGAGAGAGAGAGAGAGAGAGAGAGAGAGAGAGAGAGAGAGAGAGAGAGAGAGAGAGAGAGAGAATGTATGTATGATGTATCCGCCGTGGTGTAGTGGCTAGACGTTTGCCTGCAGATCTGAAAGTCGCGAGTTCAGGTCCTGACGGAGCCGGACTTTTTTTTTTTTTTTTTTGGAGGGGGGAGGGAGACCTTGGAATCCATATAAAGCCTACTTTAAATGGCTACTAGATGAAGACAATTGAATTAAAGTGCCGAGTAATCTATAAAATATAGGTCCAGCCCTATATGCCCAACACGTCTAAAGGGCGTGGAAAAGTGTCCTTGACTTGACTTACTGAACATGAAACAGAACCCCTAGCTTACCCCCCCCCCCCCCTTTTTCCCTTTCCCACCTTCCACTGAATTAGTCTTTTGAGGTATGGATACTCTGGAGACTGAGGGGCAGAAGGAGGAGAAAGAGAGAGAGAGAGAGAGAGAGAGAGAGAGAGAGAGAGAGGCCAATGCAAAGCTATTTAAGCATGTTTACTCAGTGATGAACACGTTAAAAATAAGGATGGTCACCGGCCACAGGCCTGAGCTTTAGCACAAAAAGCACCTCCGCGAGAAGGAAGTCCAAGATTAACAATAATATCAAATTACTAGTTAGTTCTAAACACATCCGACTCTATTTTATAATTATAAATATTATAATATCTAAAGTCGGACTTGGTTCTTACCACAGCCAACTCCAGCAGTAAGGATAAACAGGTCTACGGAAATTCCCGTTTTGTTAGGCTGCTAGAGCTGGCCGTAGTTCTAAATAGCTCCCATTGTTATTAGTGACCGGAGAGCATGAAGTATCTTACAATCCTGTGACAAGTCAGAATTATTATTTTAATTTCTCTCAGGTTTTATGCTTCTAAAGCATAACAGAATTGTTATCAAACTGAGAAAATAATGGATTAACATTTCCTGACAAACGATAATAGTATACATACAACTTTCCTAAAACTGTATGAGATGTGTCAGATTTGACTCCATAAAAAGTTGTACAGGATAGAACGGAGCTGGGGAATCAACTGCGAGCCTACATATAAAAGCACAACCGTACAGTGAAATTTTTTAGGGTTCATTTACACGGGATTCTTGTTTTCTTCTTGTCGTTGTCGCTGCCACTGGTATCCGGATGAGAAGAATACAAACCTCTTTGAAGTCTGTAGTGTGATGCATGTCCTCCACTGTTAAGATTTAGCCTGCGAGTGTCCAATTAAATAACCCTGGACTTCTTCTTCTTCTTTCGTTCGCATGAAATAAATTATCTATATCTGCAATGCTGTCTCTAGTATGAATTTCACTGTCTTTTGTAATTCACTAAGCGGCCCGTAAAGTTTGACTTCCACGAATGTCTTTTTTGGCCAGAAGTTTTGCCTGGAGGCGTTGAATCTGGGACAGTCTTGGAGGATGTGATCTGTTGTCTCAGGTGCCAGTCCGCAGGTACACATGGCTGATTGACCAATCTTAAATTGGTACTACATGTGGCAACGAAGTCGAATATGCCCTGTTCTATGGCAAAGGATAATGACTTGCTCTGGTCTGTCCATAATATGGTAATCGTCTTGTGCCAGTTTCGGTGGCATTCTGATTGATTTGATCGTTCTCTTCTTCTGTTGATAAGAGACTGGTATGTCGGGTTGTTCTTCAGTTGCACCTTCCTTGGCTAGTTTATCAGCTCTTTCGTTTCCGGGAACTCCACAGTAGGAAGGTGTCATACTGCCTGTAGTAACTCTGAGTGCTTGATTTTGCACTTTGTGTAATTCTTGCAATGTCGTTTTTGATGTCGAACTCCATGCAGTTGATAACACTGGACTAATGCTTAATGTCCCTATAAAGGTTCTTATTCGGCCGGCGTGATGCTGACCACATCACCCAGTGGGCAACGATTGATTTATTAATATAGGTCTAGCCCTATATGCCCAATAGGCCTGATAGCTTGGAAACAGATCCGTTACTTTCTTTAACAGTTTTTATTGAAACGTTTGCATGTAAACCCCTTCTACAGGAACACCGATCTTTACCATTCCAATAGCGGGACAGGAACGGTGGAGCTATACGTTAGGCAGGGAGGGACCGGTTGACGGGTCAGTGTGGAATTCTTTAAGCCGGTATCTGAAACTCACAAGGATTGGCAATCGATACGAAATGATAGTGGACCTCACACCAGATTTGGAGGCTATCTTTCAACAATATGTATGTTTCAGGCGTCCATAATGTTTGTTCTCTTTACAAAAGTTCTTATTATTCTTCTTCTGTCATTCTGTATTCACTTTTAAAAGAGTGGTTGGCGCACTGTGTAGGGATTTACAGATTAACCGCTTTCCGCATAACGTATTCAGCATATATTCAACAATAACAACAAATATAAAAAGCCAGCAAAACCGGACAGACCAGAGCAAGTTATTATTCCACGCCTTAGAACAGGACACAATAGACTTCGCAGCCACATGTACACAATTTTAAATTGGCGAATCAGCCATGTGCACATGTGGATTGGCACCTAAGGCAGATCATGTCCTCCAAGACTGTCCCAAACATATCAACATATCAAGGCAAAACTTTTGGCCAAGAGAAACATCGGTAGAAGTCAAACTTTACGGGTCGCTGAGTGAATTACAAAAGACAGTGAAGTTCATACTAGAGACAGCGGGAAAAGTGTGAATTAAACCTATAGGGTGTGAAGCTGACGTATGTCTACCACAAACTTTGTTTTGTTTCACATACGAAATCGAAATCATTTATTTTCACCATTTGTTTTAAAAAATATTACCACTACCATTTGTCAGAGTTGCTCTTAGACGTTTCGGTGAAGTATAGTTGGTGTTCGATAGGTGGCTGTGGCTTTTTTCTCCTTGTGAATGTTAGTTAGTTAGTTATTCCTCTTGTGCCAAAGATGGCGCATAGGGCAGAGGTCATAGCTTTCCACGTCCGTCGGTTCGTTGCCACTTGATGTAGGTCTTGAGTGCGACTGAGACCTATGGTTGAGCTCTCCCTTGTGATGGTTCTACGGAGAGTTTCTTTTGGTCTTCCCTGTTTTCTTTTACCCTCTGGTGACCATATGAAGGCTTGGTGGGGAAGTCTCTGTATGTCCATTCTGAGTACGCCTTGTGAATGTGCGGTAACTTTAATGTTGTCAATCAATAATTTCTTTGGCTGTCTTTTTACTTTCATATCAGATTTGCTTATGTGTAACGCTTGTGTTGGTAAAAAGTGTTACTACCTTTTAAAAAGAGGCAAAATATTTGAATGTGAGGCAAAATTATGAGAACATAATTAAGAAAGAAACAAACAAAACATACAACTGACTAAAAACTACCATTATCTTTTCGTTTTAACTGCTCGGACTATGTGAAACGCGTTGTGTTCTCTAGTTAAGATTGTTGACTGTTTAAAGACTTCGTTATTTTTATGGCCCCGTAAATTCTTTTTATTTTTTTTTTATTTTTATTTTATTTCTACATTACGTTTTCCTCTTTTCTCCATACACCTCACATATTGTATTCGTGTCATTAGCGAATCGGGTCATTTAGAAGCACATTTTGAAGAAGATAGCTAATCTTTATATTTGCTTTACGACTCAAAGGTGTAGGTTCGAATCTTCAGGGAGTCGAATTGTTTAAAATAATGAATCTGAACTCCATGTTGAATCAGCCTAATAAGGGTGTCAGCCATGACCTACTTTAGATCTAAAGTAGGTCACGTGCCCGCATATGTCAAAGGAGGGGATAGCGTGATGTCAACATTACCTATTGAGCGCCAATTATATGAGTCCGGCACCATATTTCGGATGCACCAATGGTGTTGAAAGTGTCTTTCAGTACTTTTATTCTTTTTTTTTTCTACAACGATAATGTACCGGCAAACATAACAGTGGGATGATGAGATTTTACAACTGTTTACCAAAGTAACACACGTACTTACTGAGGAAGATTTTTCGTAAAGTGAGCTGGATTTGTTAATAGCACTAGCCAGCGCCCCTTCCCCCTTTTTTCTATAGCATTTTGTCTGGAAATATGGAAAGTTGCCATCAATAAAGTGACACGGTTATTTTTAATGCGGATACAGGGAATAAAACTGGCAAGTCTTATATTGCTGCTGACTTGTGAAAGAGATGGCTTTCTTCAGAAGGTAACGCTTCCAATTTCTTGTGTATTTTTGTACTTATCAATTTTTTTAAAATACATGCAAATCTCAATATAATGAGGATAAACCAAACAGTAATCTATTTTCTTATAAGTAAGTAAGTAAATTGTACCCCACCAGGACATCATACAAGCTATAAACACCCGGTGACACAAAGTGCCACCATGCGGATGAGGATCACCCGTGGAGTGGTCCCAGAAACCCCGTTCAGCCGTTAGGCCATATTTCAGGCCCAGCAAAAGCCAGGGCGGGGCTTTAGATAACGAAAAATTGAATCCCATATGGGGACCTCAACTAATTTATGTTAATGATAATACTTTAATATGTGAAGCCGTACACCTATTTTGGCAGTAATGTAGACAAACATACGGGAACATACAGAGATATTAAAATACGAATACAAGAGGCAGGAGAAGTTTGAACTGCATAAAGAATTATGCGGAAGTCAAAAGAAATTAACACTAATACTAAACTTAAATGTTTAATTCTATTGTTAAATCAGTAAAGCTGTGTAGAGCGGAAACACGGAAAACAACTAAGGCAAGCAACAAACTACAAACTTCATTAATTGGGGCCTGCGCACAATGAGGACATTAAATGGTATGATAGAGTTACTAATGTTCAACTTCGAGAGAGAACTAAGCAAACTCGCGAAAGTCAAAAGGTAAAGAGAATACTGGCGTTAAATAAGACAATGGAGAGAAAACATGGTAACAGTATAACTAGAATGTCCTTGCACTGGAACCTACAGAGGTGGTAAATAAAGTCAGACAAATAAAATAAAAAAAACAGAGCTAGAGAATGAAGTTAACAATATAGTGAGACCATGGACTGATTTGCATGCAACAGCACGAGAAAGAACGACTTGGCGTCAGTTAGTTGAGGGTCTGCGCTCCTTTGGGGGATAAAGGACAGAAGAAGAAAAAATCTTAGTGCTGCGTATCTGGCTTTCTTTCATTGTTTGACGCATTTCAACTGCTATTTTCCTCGTGTTATTTTCCTCGTCAATTTTTATGTAACGTTACACCGTGTTCGTCGCTTATATATTTATACATGTATTTATACATATGGTTTTGCTTTTCACCTACGTTATTGATGTTATCCATGTCTGTCTGTCTGTCTGTCTGTCTGTCCGTCTGTCTGTCTGTCTGTCTGTCTGTCTGTCTGTCTGTCTGTCTGTCTGTCTGTCTGTCTGTCTGTCTGTCTGTCTGTCTGTCTGTCTGTCTGTCTGTCTGTCTGTCTGTCTGTCTGTCTGTCTGTCTGTCTGTCTGTCTGTCTGTAAAAAGAAGGAGAAGGAGATGATGGAGAAGTAGATTAAAAAAAGAAGGAGAGAAAGAAGGAGGAGGAGGAGGAGGAGGAGAAGAAGAAGAAGAAGAAGAAGAAGAAGAAGAAGAAGAAGAAGAAGAAGAAGAAGAAGAAGAAGAAGAAGAAGAAGAAGAAGAAGAAGAAGAAGAAGAAGAAGAAGAAGAAGAAGAAGAAGAAGAACAAGAAGAAGAAGAAGAACAAGAAGAAGAAGAAGAAGAAGAAGAAGAATACATCTAATACGTGTCACAGCGTTGAAAAAAAAGGTTTTCTTTGTATATGACATACTCTTATATACTAGTACAGGAAATGCTGCGTATTTTCAGGTCAGCAAAGTGGTTCTGCAGATTTTACCCGTGAACGAGTACGCACCTGAGTTCTTTATAACGCCATTAAACACAAAAGTCCCTGAGGTGTGGTGTCTGTCTGTCTGTCTGTCTGTCTGTCTGTCTGTCTGTCTGTCTGTCTGTCTGTCTGTCTGTCTGTCTGTCTGTCTGTCTGTCTGTCTGTCTGTCTGTCTGTCTGTCTGTCTGTCTGTCTGTCTGTCCTGTCCTGTCCTGTCCTGTCCTGTCCTGTCCTGTCCTGCCCTGTCCTGTCCTGCCCTGCCCTGCCCTGCCCTGCCCTGCCCTGTCCTGTCCTGTCCTGTCCTGTCTGTCTGTCTGTCTGTCTGTCTATCTGTCTGTCTGTCACACACACGCACACTCTCACACACATATCCCCACCCCTTTCTCTCCTAAACTACATTTGCTTCACATTGTTAACACCCGATTAGTTTCTTTTCCCCTCAGGTGAGGGCTGTGTCTCTGCAACATAGGTTTTATATTTTAAGAATATGTCCATGCTGTGCCGCTGGAACATGGGGGCATAAGTGCTTTGAGTGCCCCTTCCTCCAGAAACGCTATTAGTGGCCTCAACGGCGCCTTACCAACAACCTTGCATATGTGTTCTCTCTCTCTCTCTCTCTCTCTCTCTCTCTCTCTCTCTCTCTCTCTCTCTCTCTCTCTCTCTCTTTTTACGCATATCAGTTTTATTTCAAATATGTTGTTATATTTTTTTTCCAGTTCAGCACAAGATGATGAGTATTATTATTATTAATAATAACTTAAAAATGGCTGGGGCCCCTTGAACTTTCAGATAAATCTTATTTCAGCTGCACAATAAGAAGCTTTACAACAATGTGGCACGTTTATCCAGTGCCAAGACTCAAGACCTCACACGAAAGAAACAGACCCTTAAATTTAGATAAATAAACAAATTAAAGGAAATCTCTTTCTTAAACGTTTATGTATTTTAGACAAAGAATTACGGTCTACTGTGTTTATAAATTGTTGCTGTATTTGTTTATTTAACCTATGATTGGTTAATATAAATTATTGTAAGCTTTGGTGCCATTTAAATTGTTTGAAATGAATTCTGTCCCTGTTCCATAGTTGTGGATTTCAAGCTGTATGATTGATATGCCAATGTGCACACCTTTTTCTGGGGTGCCAAGTTGGTAGTGTTTTTAGTACACTTGTTTCTATAGCGAGGTACACACGCCATTTGCAGGTGACAGGTTTCATTCCCCGCACGGTAACTATAGCTTTCGATTTGTATGTTGTCTAGTGTGTCTTTTTATCTTTCTACTTTTTTTATATGAGTGCCAATCATTACATTGTTTGCTTACTATACCTTATGCTTAAAGTACATACTGGACAAAATAGACTCGTCTGCCATTTGTGCAAGAAACTCAAGATTGTGTATTCAAAACTGTGGCCACGTGGACTGTCACAGGAATACTGAACACATGCTACAGACATGCTCTATGCATGCAGTAGAGAGATTCCATGTTTGGCCAGTTGGTATTCCAGTGAAGACCAAGCTGTATGTGAAACAGTGAAGAACACGCAAGACACTACAGACTAGGTTTAGGTTTACACAACGGATCAACATCATGGCACAAGGGTAGTAACCAATAAGTGTTCCGTTCTACTTCTAACTCAAGTCTGAGTCTGAAGAAGTTCAGCAGAGCGCAACAAACTCCGTATCCTCGGCTCATCATCATCATCAATCAGCAAGTCCTTTACAGAACGTCGCTCTCTTCACGGCACGCCTGAAAGTATCCCTTTCCCTAGCCAGCTCTCCGGCCCATGTGCTTTCGATGCCAATGCATCTTCAATGTTTTGTATCCATCTTCGCTGTGGTCGACCCCTGCCTCGCCTTCCACAAACTGCACCTTCCATCACCGTCTTTTCCAAGCCACCATGACGCTTGAAGTGGCCAAAGTAATCATAAAATAATATCGCCGGCTAGGATCCTAAAATACTTTGGGTAGATTTTAAGTCAAAGTTTGTCCGGGCAGCACTGTTAGGCTATTCTTTTTTTATTTCCAACTGCCAAGGGATTTTTTTTTACCCCCGCAACAATACCCATATTTTCCCCAGTGGTAAACTGATGAACAGAAAATGCCTAGTTAAAAAAAAAAAAAAATTGCGTCGGAAAATGCTGCGGTTGATTCTGCCCCGCCATGTTAAGAATATCTAATTACCCTCAATAATAATAAAAAAAACTGTTGGTGAAAAGAAAGAAACTGGAACATGTTGCGACAAATGTAAAGAGTAATAGAAAGATAGAGAAATACAACCCTAGAAGATTCTTAATAGCCTTTCATCGTGGTATTAAAGGGCATCAGCGAACGAAGTGATATATCCTGATGCAGACAGAAGAATGATCGCCCACGCCAGTCTGCAAGGCACTTGAGGATGATAATGATGTTGATGGTTTTGGTTGTGGTGGTGATGATGATGATTATGGGGGTGATGATGGTGGTGGTGATTATGATGATGATGGTGCTAATGGTGGTGATAATGGTGGTGGTGATGATGATGGTGAAAATGGTGATGTTGATGATTGTGGTGGTGATGATGATGATGATGAAGATTGTTTGTGTACGTATTATTTAACGCATTTGTGTTAATATTTTTTTTTTATCTCGCAATATTTCATGGTTTTTTCACCAGAACACGAAAGTTGGCACTGAAGTTTACAGGCTGGGCGATCACACGATGGATCTAGATGTGAACCCTTCAACAAATGAGTTGTCTTCGTTCGCCATATGGGAGTACCTGGCCGACTCGAAGGTAATAATCACAGATCGGTACCTTTGAAATCATTATTGTTTTTTGCGCTACTATAATAGACGCCTAATGGTGAACACTGATACCTTTTTGTAGGCATCACACATTTTTCTCCAACAAAAAAGCGATGACATTTCTTGTAATATACTCAAAATAGGGTGGGGGAGGGGGTGGGAGAGACGACAGCATAAGACCATGTTAAAAAAGCAATGTTAAATACATGTGGGGCAAGGGTAGTTCTAAAATCCTATACTCTTACATGGGAAGTCTGTTCCTAACGCGATTAGGTTTTCTTCTTCTGCGTTCATCCGAAGATGTAATTGTGTTGTGTCCGTTTACAGAGTGGTTTCGATATTTGCACCTTTCGGCCAACACATCCGACTTGTGTGGGCATTTGTTGACCAGGTTATGCGTTCTCGGTGATTGGGTCTTACTAGTCACACTCGCCATCGCCATGGGCTGTGACTCCTATGCCTTCATACAGCACAATATAACACTATCTTCAGGAAAGACGAGAATCTACCAACAACGATAATTTAAACAGCGTTGTCGTAACGCGAAACATGAGACTGTCTATCAGCCAATCTTCCTTGACGTAGGATGTCAGTATTTCCGATATTTACATTTCCGTGTGCATTGTCGCGCACGAAAAAAAAAATCCCTTGGCAATTGGGAAACGAAAATAGTAGCCTAACGGCGCTGCCCGGGCAAAATTTAGAGTTGAAAATCTATCCGAAGTATTTTCAGGATCCACTGTGCACTGTGCTGAGCTTCTTCGGACTTAGACTTGAGTTAGAAGAAGAAGGAAGCACTTATGGGCTACTACCCGTGTGATATGATGTTGATCCGTTGTTCAAACCTCAAACTTCCATTAAATATGTACTTGTTTTTTGTTTTTTTTTAATTTCGTAACATGACAGTTTTGAATTATCGTTTTACTTTTGCGCCTTTCCAGATGACAGTGTTATAGTGTGCTGTGTGAGGCATGGAAATCATAGCCTCATACATGGGAATCACCGCCTCACACATGGGAATCACTACCTCATACATTTAAACCACAGTCTCACACATGGGAATCACTACCTCACACATATAAATCATAGCCTCACATATATAAATCACAGCATAACACATGGGAATCACTACCTCACACATATAAATCACAGCCTCACACATAGGAATCTCAACGTAACACATGGTAATCACAGCCTCACACATATAAATCACAGCGTCTTACATGGAAACAAAGCCTCAAACATGAAAATCGCAGTCTCACACATATAAATCAGAGCCTCTCACACAGGAACCAATAACCTGCTTACAAATAAGCCACATTTGTACCAAAAAAAAAAAAAAAAAACGGATGTCCACAAAAAATTCAAGTTCTGAAACAAGACTAAAGTCCAGAAGTGGACGAACAAGATTGTTGCTGCATATCCTTGCACTGCCGACCATTCCAGAAAGATTCAAAGATGTGAATGTATAAAGGAGGCATTCGAGGCGACCCGAGGCCGCCATTAAATATTCTACTCATGTCCTGGTCGTATAGTCTACGAGGATGCTGTTCGTCCATCTCTTGATTTTATCCTCACATCTGCACCGCTGTCCAACTCCTGCTCGCTTGCCTTCAAATTTTCCTACCAGTATATATATATATGCAGGAATGATGTGTCAGTTAAATGTGACCGAAATGTTTAGAATAAATTACTAAGATGTTAAACAGTAGTATGTTGATTGTCCATCACAAGGGATGAAGACCACTCTTCATTTCATCTGTCATGAAACTAAAACTGATTGTCTGTGAGTCCGGAATTGACTTGTAAGCCGAATATGGGCCCAGGAGGATCTAGAGCAGCGGTTCTCAACCTGTGGGTCGCGACCTATTTGTGGGTCGAACGACCCTTTCACTAGGGTCACCTAAGACCATCGGAAAACATATATTTATTGAAGTTATGAAGTAGCAACGAAAATGTTTTTATGGCTGAGTGTCGCCACATCATGAGGAACTGTTTTAAAGGGTCGAGGCGTTAGGGAGTTTGAGAACAACTGTTCTAGAACAATGACGACAGAGAACATTCTCTGTAGATAAAAAGCCTGGTATACGGGTCTTTTTAGCCTGTCTCCGCTGCTTAGCTGCCCTTATTTCTTGAAGTCTCACATGTCACTGCGCCTATTCGGATAGACGTTCACCATGTAGTCCTGTCTTGTACATTAGCTTCCCAAGTTTTATGTTTTATAAGGAATATTTAATGTAAAACTTAAACCCCCAGCGGTAGTATAGTAACACTTGAAAAGAGACAAGTTTAGTTGGAGAATGACATTTAAAAAAAAACGTTTTGATTTTACTATTGTCACATGCCAGGGTGTACTGCAGAGACCAAACCAGTGATCTGTATTTCGTAAAAGTTTGACAGTATAAGGAAACATATAGCTATGTTGCAGACAGATGGCCGTACTTACTTTGAAATGGCAGACAACAAAAAGGGAAGCATTCATGTAAAGGCGGAGCTAGATTTTGAGCTGCTTCATTCGCTGGGTGCCATTCGATTGCACCTGAACGTTTCTGCCTCGGTGAGTAAACATTGTGAATCCTCTTAAAAAGACGAGTTTAATCCAATGTATGAATAAATAAATAATTTACATCACTGCACTGAGGACATTTCCAAACGTGCTCTGTTTCCGTATTCAGTTGCCAGCTAAGCGTTCCCATACTCATGGCGCCAGTTTTCGTCTGATAGAAAATCTGCCAAACTCACCCTCCCCCCCCCCCCCACCCACCTTGCACAGACCCTTCTCCCACCCTCCGCTGAATCAGTCTCTGAAGGTGCGGAATATCTTTTCCGCTGCACTGTCCACTTGATCCCAGAGAACTGTCATCACGTCCACTTTATCACACATTATTTCATTTTTTTTAAACATCCCAACATAATGGGTTCCAAGACCAGTTGCAGCAAGTTTGGCAGCAGACCTCTTTGCGTTGGTATTACCAATGGTACGAGCGTTGTGCCGTTTAGAAAGCAGTGGCGAACTATTGAAAATACACTTGCCTACAATACAAACCACTAAACATTCAGTACTTATCAGTCTTGGGATGCTAAAATACGCAGCTAACATTTCTCTACTGACACTTTGAGGACTCTATTAAAGACATATCTATATAGATTAAATATAAAACAGTCTCTTTCGCGCTCTCTCTCTCTCTCTCTCTCTCTCTCTCTCTCTCTCTCTCTCTCTCTCTCTCTCTCTCTCTCTCTCTCTCTCTCTCTCTCTCTCTCTCTCTCTCTCTCTCTCTCTCTCTCTTTCTCTCTCTCTCTCTCTCTCTTTCTTTCTCTCTCTCTCTCTCTCTCTCCCTCTCTCTCTCTCTCTCTCTTCTCTCTCTCTCTCTCTCTCTTTCTCTCTCTCTCTCTCTCTTTCTCTCTCTCTCTCTCTCTCTTTCTTTCTCTCTCTCTCTCTCTCTCTCTCCCTCTCTCTCTCTCTCTCTCTCTCTCTCTTTCTCTCTCTCTCTCTCTATATATATATCTATCTGTCTCTATCTCTCTCTTTTCCACCTTCCTCATGTCTGGGGCCCGGATAAAGAAAGGGGGGGGGGTGGGGGTGCTGTGAGGGTAAAGTGCGCCTAGGTCGCATTATACATTCTCTATGGGGGGGGGGGGGGGGGGGGGGGGGGGGGGGGGGGGGGGGGGGGCTTTACCCTTGCATAAGTGTGCAATTATTATTATTATTAAAGTTGAAAAAAGTAAATGACCCTTTTCCACGCCTTTTAGGCGTATTGGGTATATAGGGCTAGACCTGTATTTTATAGACCACACGCGCGGAGTATGTGTTTAAGATGAATGAAAATTATGTATTGGATAAACTAATGAGGCTTAGAATACAGTTTCCTTCAATGTTGTAGGACGTGCACAGGATAACATCGTTTACAACCCTGACGGTTGATGTCCAGGACGTCGATGATCTCCCACCAGGGTTCTATGACGCAAGCTGTCAGGTGCCCCGGAAGTCCTGTGTCGTGTCTTACCTAGCCAGAGTGCCACTGCGATTCCAGGTGAGTTCAAATATTTTGTCAGACAATGTGGGAGCTAAAATGTTACGTAGCTCAGAAAAAGTGCAATGGTACTTCAAGTTACAAACGCTTCCAGTCACGAACAAATCGGCCCACGAACGCGCCTTCTGAACACTTTTATACCGAACCGAACCCACGAACATGATTTTGGCCATCAACATCAGTTGTACTCAGGTTTGCATTCAGAATGGGAAGAGGAAAAGGTGGTACATGTTTAAAGTCCTGAGATCGAAGACATTTATAGCAAGTGGAGTGAGTGTAGGTTTTCATTTAAAAGCATAAGCCTATTAAAACTGTGACTGGCATAGTAATGGACATTTCAAATAACAGTGTGATGTCCCATTTTCGAAAAATTATCCAACAAAGAAAAAAGACAAATGTCTCGGGATCGTTACCTCGTGAAAACACCAGCCACAGAGCCAATAACTAAACCACTTTCCAGGACACGGACACACGCATACACACACACTCACTCACTCACACACACACACACACACACACACACACACACACACACCACACACACAAAACAGAAATACCTTTACAGTTGACCGATATTATTATAAAACTGGAATTTAACCAACTTTACCTTACTAATGGTTTAAAAAGAAAAGTAAGCTAAGGTCCCTTTTCCACGCCTTCATGAGTATTGGGCATATAGGGCTAGACATATTGTATAGACCAATCGGCACTCGGTGGTCAACATCACCCGGAGACCCTTACTTCCTAAGACTTTACTTGGTACCCATTTAAGGCTGGGTCGACTTCGGATCCAAGATCATTATTTGACAAAAGTATGGCTCCTATAACCCCACACACACACACACACACACATACACACACACGCACGCACGCACACACCCACACCCATATATACACACACAGCAGTTATAATGAACCATTGCACAATGGTTACAAAGTAACACGTAGAGTCCAGTGGGGATATAGGTCTGTAGATTTTATTTGCTTCGTAAAATATTTGCAGCGATAAATATATTTGATACACTAATCCGCTACATTTTCCAGGGACAAATAGACAACATAATTCCCGGAGCGATCCAGGCTCGAGATATGGATGAGTTAAATACTCCGATAACGTACTCGTTGAAACCAGCACAGACAGAAACATTAGGTATTTGACGTTGTTATAATAATTATCATTAATATAAGCGCTTTGGTGGTTCTTATTATGATAATCTGATCTTTATATTAGGTTTAGAAGTTCGACGGTTCCAAGTTACCGTCAGGGCGTTCTACTTTAACCCCTTTCTATGTCAGGACTTTGTTACTTAATGCATTGTATCCAAATTGTACTATGTATGCAGTACACTCTTGGATATGAGTCGAAACGACATCAGCGTGTGACAGATATGTGTTACTTTCATTATGTCTCTTGGGATTGTTTGTTAGTGAAACGACTTCTTGTTTTGGTTCGTTCAGCAGATCTGGTCGACACTAAACACTCAAGGGAAAGGCCAGACGGACACACAACGTAGACTGATGCTAATACAGTCGAACCTGAAACTCTACACTTGCTGCTGAAAATGGAGACGGGAGCCCTTGTGGAAATATCTAAAGTGCTAACATGTCGGTTCTTAACTCATCTGAACTCAGCTCAATGATAGTGTTACATGTTTATCTACAGTGATTGTTCTAAAGTCACTTTTTTTTTTAAAGTACCATAACCGGGTATTACTAATGGTCTTTCCAGAAAACCTCAAAAAATTTTACATCAATGAAACAACCGGGAGTTTGTTTTTGATATCACCTTTTGAAGAAAAGAATGAAGTGGATCTAGTCATTGAGGTCAGTATAATAATTATAATTCACTGTTTCTGACTGCTAGCTATGTGTTAAGGTACATCTAGTTTTGTGGCACTAAAACAATGATCAATAGATTACAAATATTCAATAACTGATTACCTGCAGTACATGATCTACGAACAAATTAAAAACAAAAAACACAGGGGTGGAGGAGGGGCGGGGTTGGGGGAGGGGGCATTAGTGCAGATTTTACTGAGATCCCTGGGGATCGTAAATGGAGCTATGAGGTTCGTGATTCGAAGCGACGCCGCCAACAGGGGCTTCTCGTTCTGCGGTAAGCAGCCAAGCTATATGGGCTAACCCAGTGTGGTATCGTCGATCCTCTCATCTTTTGTTAGAATTAAATAGTACGATACAATCACAAATATAAGGATTTGGAAAGAAGAATTTAAATATTATTTGAATGAAAAGCAACCAGGAACTCACAGTCCTTATTAAGCAGGTGTCCCCCAGATCGACAAAAGTTTAAACTGGGTATCAAGGGAATGTCAGAAACAAAGGTAATAGACGGGATACAGGCCAAATCACAAATCGAATAATCATTAATCAATTACAGGACTGAAACCGCACTTTATTTCTGATACCGTGGGAAAATAAGGAAAATAATAAAAGGAGAGAAAGGAGTAGAAAAAATTTAATCATTAAGATTAGATAATGAAATAGAAAAAACTATGAAACAAAATAGACAGGAAGAGGAACAAAATAAGCAGCGCGAAATACGCCACGGAGAATGATAATGTTAATGAATGCAGTGAGTGAAACACAAAAGATATACAATATAACCTGGTTAACACGAATTCTCAGAACTGGGATTATCGAGAGCATGCACACACGCACGCACACACACACACACACACACACACTCATACACACACACAATAAAAAGAACACAATAATACTGATTACTGATTTAAGAATCGACTTCATAGCACACCGGGTATACCCCATAGATGCTTTGTCTCCCGTAGCGAATGTCTTAAGGTGTAGGTGCTGACTGTTCCTGTAGCACACTGATTATTCACACGCTAATCTCCTCCTCTCATCCGTCCCTCCTTGCCGGATCCACACCTTATTCCTCGTTCACACATTCTGGCACATATCATTTTATCTAATCTCGCTTTCTTCTGTCAGCAGTCGTTCATATTTGGTCTTCAGAATATCTCCCTTGTTCGGTACGAGTTGTTCCGTAACTTTCGCTTTTGTAGTCAGAAAATCCGCTCTTTCGTTCTCTCGCACTCCTGCATCTCCCGGAAAGTATATCCACCTGATTACCTGCAATGTTGGCACACTGGTATACATTATTACACAGTTATAATGATAACTAATGAACTAAATTATGACACTCAGGAACAGGAAGTCAAAGGAGGAAGAAAAAGAGAGAAGAAATTGATATTTTATAATGAAAACGAATGTGGTGATGCAAATGAATATAATTTGAAGAATCATACGGGAGGAAAAGAAGAAGAAGAAGTCATTTTACAATGTAAACATTACAAGTAACATAAACACAGTTGTTTTTATATACTGAGATATAGCTGATTAATCAGACTTACACAAATATATAAACTAAGTTAAGGTAACGTCTTCTCTTGTGTTCACATTCAAGGCTCGAGAGATCAGCCAGAATGCTAAGGCCTCACAGATACCTCTACATGTCATTGTGGGCGACTTTAAGGAAACCCCAGATGTTCGGAAACTTGATTTTAGGTAGCTGATATTCTGCTGTTTCATTTAGAGAATTCTAAACATCTGCATATTTTTCTCGTCATCATCATCATCAGTTTCCACTTCTGCCTTTAAGCGTTGTCGGAAGAAACAATTTGCGATCCATCGCTTGAAGGGCAGCAATGACTACTGTCATTCCGTGTAGATGTAGAAACTCCTTAATGTCATCATTCTATTTTCGTGATAATCGTTAAACTTTGAGTAATGGTGAAGATATTATTGGAACTGATAATCTCACCATCATTATCCTCACCGTTGTCGTCGTTATCACCATGTATACTGCCGATAAGCGCAGATCGTCATCGTTCGCCGTCTCACACGATCACCAGAATCAGGGATCATGCTAGTGCTCTTGTTTCGCCCCATTCATACATACAAGACAACCTAGTTTTTTTTATCTCTTTGCCTTCCCTTAACGCTTTTCCCCATCAGTCTTGCCAGATGTTACGAGAAGCGCCGACACAAAAAAAGACATTGGAGTGGCCAGGATCTGCTTCTTTTAATTGTTTAGAAGCGTGAGAGAAAATGTTCGGCTTAGGTCTTGTTTAAGTGCGCAAAAAATTAATAATTATTATTATTTATATGTGCTGAATGACAAAAACATATATAAACATATTTGAAATATATTTTTAAAATGCTTAGAAAGACAGTTTATTGGGAGGGGTGGGGTCCCAGGCTCCAGAGCTCGTGGTTGCTTTACAGTTCTTGAGTCTATTTTTTTTTTTTACATGCTGTTTTGATATTTTCTCCGGGTCATAGCAGTATTTTGGGGAAATGAGCACGTAGATAGACACGTCAGTTCTACATAGCTAGGTGGTGGAAAGATGTATGACAAGCTGGATGTTGTGAGAGCTCTTTGAAAGCGACTGAACAGTGCGGAGGCACAGCTAGATCATTACGGTCTGAGGAGAATGCCCCTGCAAGAAGTTACAGGAGAATCTGGGCCGACGCTCAAGACTCAGGGGAAAGGCAAGACAGATTTACAATCTGGTGCCATCAGAATTTTAACTCTTCCCTTGCCACTGAAGATGGGGACGGATCACTTATGGGGGTGTCCTGAGTGCTGTTATGTCGATTATTTTTTCAACATTTGTACGTGCTCCCCTCCCACTCGCAACAGGAAGGGTTCGGGGGGAGGGGGGGGGCAGTCTACTTTAAATTTCTTTATTTAGTTTATGGTTTTGATCTGTCTCAAGGAGCTGTGTGGTCTCGAGGCATGGTGTCCGCCTCGAGTTCTAGAGGTTCCGGGTTCAATCCATGATAAGGGCTAGGTTTTGTTTCCACGTGGACTTGAAAATCTAGTAATTTTCCCTGGTCTGGGTAGTGCATTGTTGCGCACGTAAAAAAAAAAATCCCTTGGCAGTTGAAACTCGAAAAGAGAAGCCTAAAGGCGCTGCCCGGGCAAAATCGGGAGTTAAAAATCTATCTACAGTATTTTAGGATCCTCGCCGGTGCTACAGCACTTATGGGTTACTTACTACCCGTGTGCCATGATGTTTATCCGTTGTTCAAAACCTCAATCTGTCTCAAATAGGACTGCCTCATTTATTTTTCTTTTACTCCATGATATTCTATACATTTTTCTAAAAAAAAAAAAATTTACATATTTCTCTGAAATTCTTTTCTTTTATTTACCATAATCTCAATGATAATGTGTAAGGTTAGTTGCGTATCCTTACAGGACGTTGCAGAACTAGCTGCAGCCGCCCCTGGCTGTTGTGTGGTTTCTCTAGGCAAATTACGTCCAGTCTTTTACCATTGCTTCCTGGACAGTCGGCCCCCTGATACCACAGTCGAAACCAACGCAAGGCGCATGGCCCGCTGCTGGGATCGAACCCGGCACCCAGGCATTACGAAGCCTTCGCATCGACTTAGCCACAGAGCCGATCAATGACAACGTATTGTTACATAAAAGACAAACAGACGTGGACCATTAGCAGACTAGCCGACAAGGGGGAAAAAAGCTGTGAAATGAGGTTTTAGAGAAGAAACTATACTTCAGTTCACCTAGTCAGCCGTTAATGATCATTCGATATCTATGTGAACAATGGGTGCTGACCAACGCCTGCCCTACATACTTTCATTATGGTCTTAAACAGGTGCGCGGGAACCTGAGGGTTCAGGCACAGCTGTCTTCGCCCCCCCCCCCCCAATAGGAATTGGGGGGGGGGGGAGGGGTGGAAGGCCTCAGTTCCACATCCTCTTCTAAAAATGTGTATAGGTGATAATCGTCCCCGAGCACACCCCCCCCCCACACACACACACACACACAACCTTTTGGTCACCTCCTCAAGAACCATGTACGGGAGTTTTATTTAGAGTATTTGTTTAACATTTCATTGTATGTATTATTAGTTGGTTAGTCTTTCCTGTTGAGCCAAGGGCGGCGCTTAGGGCAGAGGTCATAGCTCTCCATTTCTGGGGGTACGTTGCCTCCTGTTTTAGGTCTTAGATGTTCATTAGGCCCATGGTTGAGCCTTCCCTGATGATGGTTCTACGTTTTCTTTTCCCTCATGGTGTCCATATGAAGGCTTGATGGGGACGTCTGCTCTTATCCATTCTGACTGCATGGTCAATGTAGTGCCAGCGGCGCGTTCTTATTTATTATTACAGATAAATTACTATATTTGCTCAGCATATAATAATAATCACTTAAGCAAAGCATAAGCCCGTTGAACCGACCCCTCCCCCCCCCCGAAAATGTATGCGTCCGAGCGCCTCCTTAAAGCGCCCACCACATCCTTCTATTTTTCTATGTATCCGCGCTTCTGGAATCAACAGATGGTAATAGTAATACTATGCAATTATGATAATATGATAGCACACACACTCACACACATATATATGTATATATATATATATATATATATATATATATATATATATATATATATATATATATATATATATATAAATAAATACACACACACATACATACATACATACATACATACACTAGTAGTGAGGCGTGATCAGTTCGCATTGTGAGCGTTAGCAGGTAACGATTATACTGGAAAGGGTATCAGATGATATTTTTCTCCTTGTCCATTGACTGTTGAGAGTATGAGCGTGCAGCTAGCACCGTAGTACTGGTAACTAGTAGCGTTCACACGTTACAGTTTGTGCATGAATGGCGTAAGCATGCAGCAAGCGTTCATCTCGCTATGATCGAGACGCAAACCAAGTGGCATGTTTGTAATAAACAGTAAACGGTAATAATAAAATAGTGAAATAATGTTTTTTTTTTTTTTTTGCAA